ATATAAATTCTCCCTTACACTAAAATATTGAGTATACCTTACGATTTACTTCTGAGACGACCAGAAGTATTTGCTACAGCAGCGGGAGCGGTGGATACTAAAATGTTAACAGTGCAGTGGTATCAACACTGTTGGGATAATGCCTCATTAAATGCTGCTGGAATTATTTGTGTACTTGGAGCAATTGGTGTGATTGTTTATACAAACAAAGCAGTATTTATTTGAAGAAAAATGAATCGCCACTGTGGGAAAAGAGCACACCAGGTCTAGGTGGTAGGACTGTAGGATAAATATCTTCAGTAAGGGTTGGTAGAACAAGTAACCCCAAAACAGAAGTGTTGGTGTTTTAGTACCAATTAGACAACGACTAGTCCTCGTAGGGATTAACTATCATTCACACAGACGACGGGTGGAGAGGATATTCGCAACTAGCAGCATTAGGCTACATTTATCATAAAGTCAATTATTCTTCTGAATTAGTCAATCCTATAATTAGAAGTCAGACAAATCCTTTTGAAGGATTCCGGGTTCATCTACAAAATACATATGAGAATGGTAAATGGTTTCCAATATGATATGATACACAACCATTTAGATGAATTTTTCTATCGATATTTGGTTCCATCCGTCTACCGTCACTTCTACACCTCTTTATGCAGCATATGAGAGGTACATACCCTGTGTAATTTTTTATTTAATATATATATCTTGTCAGGAGACTTTTTATACAATAAATGCCCCTTTTCACCTAGAATAATCCGAGTGGTTGGTTCGGTGATGTGGCGTATGAGGCTAACTCCACACTCTATTTGGAAACAACACAATCGTTACGCTGGAAATTCAAAGTTCAACACGTGTGAAGCTACCCTCCTCCCCGAATCTATGCTACATTAAAAATGCCGGGGAGTGTAAATAAAACATTTAGCTCTTCACCTACTATTGTCACATTATCATTTAGTATAATTTTTCAATATGTCATTAAAACCACGTCAGTAAATAAGTTTTACTCAACGTTCCAGTTGTTCTAGTTTGAACAGAGAAAGAATGAGTATATCTGCAGAATCCAAGCTCCTTTTATTTCCTGGATTCTCGTTGACTGTGAAAATCCTAAACAGATTCCACTTGTGGACTTCTTAAGTTCTGAACACACTTTAATCACAGTGCCTTGATTTATAAATAGAAGGTATTAGTAACATAATTTCAAAGACGATGTAAGTAGACAGTTATTTAATGCAAGAAGAGTAACTGTTTATATAGTAATTAGACAAGGGGTTAGACTTCAGATCTCACCTGGATGCAAGGATGACAGAATACAAGATCGAACAACACAGTCAATTTATGCATTTCAACAAAGTGGGAGTGAATAGTGAAGTAAAATTATAAAATCGATTAAAATAATTTAATTTAATATATTTGAAAACTAAATAGTGATGAATTCAACTCAATAGGTAAGTGAAGATCAAAGTCAAAGTTAAGTGAAACTTTATACTACACAAAAACACAAACAAAACAGTTTCAAGTATTGGTTTTTGTAGGGATTTTGTTTGATTGCATGGAGGATTTAATCATGAGGTGACATCAGTTAGAGAACCACTGGAAAACCTGGGAGTACTGGACAGCTGTTTCATCCTAGTTTGGGACTCCTCAGCAGTACGCACCCACCGGGATTCGGACCCAGGACCTTCTGGTTACAAGGCGAGCTCGTAGACCATTGAGTCACTGGGACCCGATCCAATAGTCCTTGAATTCTAACTTCTGCCAGTTCACGGCATAGCGCAGGCAGGCAGTTAACCTGGGGTTCTAGTGGGAAGCCGTGACCAGTAGGGTACAGCAGGTCGAAGATGAGGCAGTAACTCATCGAAGAAGACATTTCGAAGTGGTCGCGCTATGTCGTGAACTGGCAGAAGTTAGAATTCAAGGACTATTGGATCGGGTCCCAGTGACTCAATGGTCTACGAGCTCGCCTTGTAACCAGAAGGTCCTGGGTCCGAATCCCGGTGGGTGCGTACTGCTGAGGAGTCCCAAACTAGGATGAAACAGCTGTCCAGTACTCCCAGGTTTTCCAGTGGTTCTCTAACTGATGTCACCTCATGATTAAATCCTCCATGAAAACAGTTTCAGTTGCGAGGTTAGTGAGAGACTAGCCACACTATCTTTCTATATACAGAGACTGGTTTGAAGTGTTTTGTTGGCTGCAGTGGCTTGTGCAAACTTAAGTTATCATGGTTTTCTTTGTGTATTCATTGTTTTGAAGGTCTGACTACTTTCTGCTGTTTGCCCTGTGTCTGATAATTATACTTGAAAACATGGAGGCTTTTAGACACATGATTAGAAACTTTAACAGACGATCTACTCTCACTCCTTCCTATGTACTTGTTGCCGTTAGTGCAAGTGAACTGGTGAATGCAGTTGGAGTTGACATGTGAAGCAGGATACATATTTACTTTTTACCGAGTTACCGAGCATCCTGTGTTGTGAAGTGGAATGAGTCCGGCGGTGGGAAATCTTCTTTCCAATTCACACTTGAATCTTTTCTCATTTATTGTGGATGCTTCTTCTCTTTCAAAATTAGAAAGGTGAAATGTGGTTCCTATTCAACTCTTTCAGGGATGCAGTCTCCACCTGCATAATTTAGTAGGATTCTTCGAGGATATCCATTCTCAATAAGTTTCTTTCTGATAACTGCGAATTTCTATTCAATAAGGTCATAACTCTGTTGAAGGGAGTTTCGAAAAGACTCTCTTCGTACCAGATTAGGCGAAATCTGTGATAATTTAAGTACTGACCAGTCCACGTTTCTTTCCTAGACATGGAATCTCCGATCGCCTTCTATTCTTCTTATGAGATATACGAAGTGGAATTGACTGTCACATTCACTATCCATTGCAAGTGCAATATAAAGATGAGCTACATTTAGTTTTACAAACATCGTAGACGTTTCGTTCACATTCTTTAAAACCAAAAACGTGTTGTCAACATACCTGCTGTAATAATGAGCAGCGGTGATCTATTTACGGCTTCAGTCGAGTCTGTTCAAGATGAGCTATGAACATATACTGGCTCATGATTGGAACGAAAAGGTGAAACCACAGTCACTCCATCAATCTAAGAGATAAAACAACTTCGAATTCTACATGAGATGGAATATGCAATTGTATTCCAGCACAGTGCCCAAGTTCTACACTTTCATTAACGACCTCTTATTTACCCGAAAATATGCTCATTTATTTCTTTGTTTAAAGTAATAAATCTAACCGGTTTTACGAGCATTTGTCGCCTTCTCTAGAAATGAACATTCATTCACTTTTTTATGGTCAAAAGTGCGAGAACGTCCTTGTAAGTGTGTAAACTTCACCGATTCCTTACTCAATTCACGATGTGCACGACTGGCATCTCTCGAGGTGTGTTAAGATATGTTTCAATAAGTTGGGAATGTTGGTTGGATTTATATTTGTTTATTACTTGAGTGCTCTGGTGGTATATAATTCCACATTAATATGTTTATCAGACATATCGAACAGCGAAAAAACGGTTACTTTTTTACAAAACTACCGATAAGTGTGGCTATATAGAGTCGGTGAGAAACGAGCTCATTTCTGATCGAGAAGTTGAAATTGAACAAACAGTTCCGCTAGAAGATATAATGGCGGGAATGCAGCTATACCTGACATCCACACTATTTAAATTCCATGGGAAATCATATAAAGAAACTGAGGGAGTTCACATGGTGCCATCAATATTCCAGATAGTGGCAGAAATATTCATGGACACGTGAAAAAAACTCAGCGATTGAAACGTTCGGTCGCATTCACCTACAAACTATAGTGGATGTATGAAGGTGACACATTCACCGTGCTCAAAACACAGGACATGAATAGATTTTTCGAATACATCAAATCGAAGGTTGAGACAATTCAGTTAAATTATGAATTGTAAATCCAAGAAGAGGAGCTTCCAGTGTAAGTTTTGCAGGACGAAATAGGGAAAGAAAATGGGAAATTGAAGACACTAGTATGTTCACAGATAACATACACATCGAAACTGATATTTTGATTTCGAATAATCCCACTCTGTGTCAGTAGGAATAGGATTAGTGAAATGCTGAAGTAATAGGGCAGAAAAACTAATTAGTACCATGAAGAATCTAAGACAGGAAGTGAGGCATGTACGAGAAGCTTTGAAACTTTATCATAATAAAAATAAAATAAAAAATAATGTAGAAAGCCGTTAAAATGAAATTACTAATAATAATGGCAGTGATTGGAATAATAATAATGACACTAATAATAGTAACAATTTCCTTGACTGTAAAACAGTACTTATGATGCAGCATGGAATTCTCACCATTCGGTACGACATGCCACCTAGTTCACTCAGCAAAAGTAACAACCAAAAATTACAGGGTATGCATAACTGAAACTGCCAATGCTATAATTTTCGGCATTAACATTAAAAGTGAAATCAAAAATGTACAAAAAGTATAAAATAAGTGTAATAATATTATTATTAATACCTTAAATCACAAGATGATTCAAGTGTAGTGTCACTGGAAATGATAAGTGGGAGAATATCATGAAAGCCATTTATTTGTACTTATTACGTGTAAAACTGTCTCTATCATATTGAACTCTGGCGAGCGGCCAAATGCGGTGTCCTTGAGTTTCCTAATTAGTTGTGGGACCAAACAAAAAGCCATCTATAATGACTTCTAGTCCTATCTGATAATATGCAAGCTGAGAAGCAGAGCTGTGAATAACGAGGTTGATGACAGCCAGACATCATTGATTTAGTGGATTTCGCTCATGAGTTCAGGTGTTTGTCGAGTACGATAGAAACGAACCAATTTAGTGGCACACTACATGAACTACTGTTAAACATCAAGTTCTTTTCAAATATATCTACTTATTTGAGCGGCAAAGGTGAGTAGATATAGAAGACAAAGACTCAAATACAAATTTTTATACACAAAAAGATAAACAAACAAATTTCAGACAAATTAATCACTTATTAAAAATACCACAAACACATGTCAATGTCACTATGACAACAGAAATCCCCAGTAAAATTAAATCACTACCGTAATAACTGGCTGAATTCCCTGACTTTGCCTGTTCTTCTTTGAATTCTTTTACTGTTTCTTTGAGGATTTCATCCAATTCTCCATTTTCTTTGCCAAATATCTCTTCTAGATGTTTACCGAATTTATCGGCGAGGTCTTCCGCATCTTGTTCTGACAAATTACTAATGACTTTTGTTACGACAATACGATCCTTGTCACGGTCAGGAGAACCTTTTAAAAGAGCTGCGTCGTGAGCGAATTTTACATTGTCAGCGTTGTCAACAGCACAAACTGATATAAACACATACAGATAAATGGAAATAATGCAGAGTTTCCAAAACATCAGAATACTTTCCGAAAAGATTTGTACAATCAAAAGTTGTGTGAGTGAATGAGAATATATATATATATAAGGTATATATGCACATGGATTGCATCCCTTCAACTTGTTGTCCAAAACGTCATTTATAAGTGGACATGTTTGCATCTGCAGTGCCAGTTTCTGTCTCTCAAATTTCAATTTAGCCGATAAACTGGTCATACAAAATTCAAGTTTAAGCAAACACAAAAACAAGGTTGAATAGAAAACAGCAATTTTGGCATTTCCAGACTACACGACTGATATAAAACATGTTCAGTCACATTTTATCATGCTTTGCTTTCATAATCTCTCTTCTAAAAAAACTGATTTTGATGACGAAAACTCAATTGCTTATAACATATGAACACACATGTTCAAATGAAATGTGAAAACAAGAAACAAGCAGTGTTCAGTGCAGACCACCTCTTCCTGGCCAATTCATTCTCTCCCCCATTAAGCTGTACAATCTCAATTAAACCAATCTTGGTCATGGACTGATATGAGTTGGATAACCGCTGGAAAGTAGGCAGAGACTATTGGACAGCTATTTCGCCTCAAATCGAGACTCACCGTTAATACGCATCTGCTGGATATTTCTGCCATTGTGGACATTGTGAATACAAGGCAATCTCGTGAAACATTCAGTCTATTAGACTCTACTCAGATGGCTCATAAATGATATCCCCTATGAATTTGTGATTTAAGGTTGACGAGCACCAGCCAGTATCATCCACGGCGAGTATTTGTCCTCACTCTCAACAACTTGGTGCCCCATATTCATGACGTCTCACTAGAACTGTAAGCGTCTTCGTCCTCTAATAAGTCACGAATGAGCACTAGATTCTTTTTTCAAGAGTTAGTATGTAGTGTGAGAACAAATAGACACCGAATACAAAATTGGATGCTGGTCGCGCTGAATGTGCGAGTGTGTTGAAGTCATAATTCATGGAGTGGCTGAATGATGTCACACCGTGGTGAAACTTGCAGAACAAATCAAATTCCTACGACTAAAATCTTAAGAATTGCATTTATGTTAATTTTTCACGACATACTATAGTAATGGAAATGATGAGTTGTCATCACAATCATAAATATCAGTTCTAATCAATGCATAAGATGAGTTGAAAATGGGAATTATTTTTTTTTTTTTTTTCATTGCCCAGTTACATAATGACATGGATAGTTTTTGAAGCATGAATTTGTTGTAGTAAAGATGCACATAAAAACGAAGATAAATTTGAAATTACGCCATAGTTCTAAAGGCAAACATGTGTGGTAAAACAAACGTAGGGAGGGAGTCTTATTTTCAAAAATTTAAAGCAATTAGTCCCTATTATAAATATTGATATTAGAAGACGGAGATTATCTGAAAAACGATGTGATGTATTGGAGCTATACATTTCGAACAATTAGATCCCTCCCACATTTACTTGTCAAGTCAATATATATGGAAAAGTTAAGTTAAACTAATTGAGAGAAAAAGGAATTCAGAATAATTAACACAAACGTTTGGTAATCCAATCAAATAAGAATTACCAAGGTAGGTTAAGAGTAATAACATCTAATCGAGATGAGCCATAAGACTGATGTTAACTCAGCCTTTAAGGTCACCTAAAAAACGGCCAACGGCGCTTACTGAAATACGCTGAGGCTATAGCTATCCATAGACTTAAGCCCCCTCTGTGTATTCAAAAACAGTTTTTTTATTATTATTCTTGACCTAGCTTGGTAATTCTTATTTGATTGGATTACAAAACGTTGTGTTAATTATTCTTAATTATTTTTAACCTTTTCTATATATATTGACTAGACAAGTAAATGTGTGCGGGATCAGATTGTTCGAAATGTATAGCGCAAATACATCACATTGTTTTTTCAGATAATCTCTGTCTTCTAATAACGCTATCAAAACAAACGTAAACAGGTTTCACAGAAACTCAGCCAATTGAGCACCATAATAATAGAAGCGGTTGAGTAATTCCACTTTTTATGCACGGCTCTGGTTTTGCTATCCAGCTGGCTGTATCATCATGAATGCAGAGTAGATGCAGGCAAATTTATTTTCTATCGCGTGTCACAATTCACTGTATAGATAACTTTAAAGCGGTTAGGGTGGCTGATCACATCTGATGCATCTGTTCTCCTCACAGCCTACACTCAAATCTAAATATTCTGAGAGACATTCTTATCTAAAATGGATATTCACCGAGAAAAATATCAAACCGAATATCCAGAGGAGCGAGATATTACCTGTTACAGCTTAAAAGCCTTACATGGACCTGGCTTCCAAGGGCGGCAGTAATTAATCTGCGATATCCTCAGGAGGAGAATTTCATTATCTCTGAGAATAACATTCTCCACATTAATGCTAAGATTAGCGTCCTCCAAGCGACCATTGGTCTCCTGAAATTTGAAGGAGGAGATCTCACATCTCACCACTTTTGTGTGTATGCGGATATCAGACAAGTTGTCCTTGTGGAGCCAGGCATATTCGTCGTTCGACATGTATCCGGCAATCATAATAATTTATCTTGCAAAGGAGACTGTGATGATGATTTCACCCGTCGATCTATGCACATTGCAAACGGCTAACTGGTTTGTAAACTGTGAATTTTATCCAACTTTCTATCCATGTCATAGGATGGACAAGTTTTTATCCGTAGTAACTGTCGCAAATATCACACGAGATATCATACGAGATCAATAAAGAGAAACGGATATCTAATTCTCTGACTGTACACTTGACAAAAAGAAAGCTCAGTAACATTCATGCGTGCTCAGTTTTTTTAACTGGTGTTTTATAAAACCAGATTTTAGTGACAAAACACAATTTCGTCAGCGCGATTTCAAATTCACTTTCCGATAAACCTTAGCTTGACACAGTGAGTAAGATAAAGTTTTGCTTAGGAGTACAGGTCAAAAATAGTGGTATATCCAGGGATATATTAAGTTGTAGATTGATCAGATCAACTTTAAGAACTCTCAACCCTGCAGAACTATACCCCAGTTTCTCAACCAGATTGATACTACCGACACAATGATGAATTACCAGAGGTGAACACATCAATGTGTGTTTCAAATTCAAGTGCCTGAATGGAGCTAGTTATATACTGGTTGTACGTGGGAGGAATTTACCTTTACGAAGTTGTATAGCTTGGAGAAAAGAGTAACCAAACCTGTAAATAGTGCCATTTTATCTCATCTAGGGGACAGCGAACACCACATCAAAACAGATGAGTCATTCATTGACGGTTGTATATCGAGTACTGAATCAATCTACCTAAAGTAATGCGATCCTAGACAGCTGCATCTATAGGTGTTAATAAGACGAAAACGGGACTACGTTTATGAAAGGAGCCCATTCAACCTCATTGTTTACCCTGGCTTACCATAAAGTTATCAGGGACATAATCAACCATCTTCCATCTCCTTCGTGCTTTTATGATATTTATTTAAATTCTGATTATCGTTCCATTTAACCGTTTAAGATTTGACTTAATTTATTTATTTATTGAATTCTCTATATATACACACATATACATATACTATCTCTGTTATTCTTATCACCTGCATAAACCTTATTATCAATATTTTGTTATAATTATAATCATTTTTGTTAATTTCGCTCAAAATATTTACCACATTATTATTACTATTTGATCCACAAAATCACCGTCTTTGGTTAAAATTTTTTATTTATAAATCTGTGTAAATTAGAGTAAAGCCCGAAGAAGATCTAATTGAAAACAGCAATATTGTTCGCTTATACTGTCTTGCTCTAATATCATATTATATATACCCTTCTTATTTATAGTTCACTTTACTCCATTATTATCCTTATTATGCATCAATCTTTGTAATTTATACTAAGCCTATCATGTTTCTAGTATTTGATTACATTTCACAGTCTAACCTTTTTATGGAGCTAGGTATATCGGTCATTCGACTCGAGTTTTGTCCAAGAGGGTGCAAGAACACTATCCTGCATGACTACGAAAAGGTGGAAGTGGAGTAATAAGAATCGCGATCATTGAACATCTGGTCAGTAATGATCACCCTATCTCTATAGCCTACGCCTTTAAAGTCATCGACAAGGCAAACAGCAATCTACCCAAATCCCTACGTATCCGACTCATCTGTTGTATTGCTGAAGCAGCTTTGGCTATCGAAACAGAAAAGCCAGATCTCTGTGTACAGAAAACGTTCGTTCAACCCCTCCAACTTTCATGGTCTTAATCCCCCTATGCTAAAATATGGTGATCCCCAATCATATTTTAGCTCTACCAGTTTTTCATTTTTTCATTTTGTCTATTCAATTTGTATACTCTTCCTTATTAAGTCAATTGTTATTATTACTATTCTCACTTTGAACTGTCCACGGTATTATTTCACTTGTTCCACTTGTCATTTTAAATCAATTCTTCTTTTTTACGACGATAAATTCTATGCTATTAAATTTCACACAATACTACGTAATGTTTTTGTTTTATTAGATTTGTCTACTAATCCTATAATTGCACATCCTTGTTCAAGCTCTATCCATCCTATGAATTATTCTATATATGACATTAATTTGTTTTGCCACTTGACATTTACCTATGATTATAATCACAAACATTTTAATTGAACTTCATATTATGAATTAAAAAGTCAATCTGAACGAAGAATATTCTTTTCAATAATTTCTCCTTCTCAGGTTCTTACAATTATAAAATATAATATTTGTGGTAGTTACAATAAAGATAGCCAGGTATGCGGTGGATACATTTTTAACGTAGAATAACAGATTAGTTATACTAGCCACTCACCTGACACCTTTTATAACCTTGAACTGATTTGTCAATTTTCCTACCCCACACTCTACAATTCTATTATGACTAATCACCACCATTGTCTCCCGTTTTACAGTATTTTGTAGTCGATTTCAGCCTATCACGTTTGTCACACTCAAATACGACTATTTATTTTGACACCCCATAACTAATCTGTTATTCTACGTTAAAAATGTATCCTCCGCATACCTGGCTATCTTTATTGTAACGACCACAAATATTATATTTTATAATTGTAAGAACCTGAGAAGGAGAAATTATTGAAAAGAATATTCTTCGTTCAGATTGACTTTTAATTCATAATATGAACTTCATATGATTATTATTATTATTTTATGCATTCACACCTAAGATTCAATTCCCTCATAAGATATAACTTGTTAAAAACCATATATATAC